CTAATGGGATTTCAATCACCTTTTTAAAACGTCCCCGTCTTTTAGAGAGAGATACCATCATCTTCACAGGTAAAATGATGTAATACTGCAATTTGTTTCAAATTAATAGGGTAGGCGGAAAAGGGCCTGGAGAAGTCCATGGCCCTCACAGATTGGTCACCGGTTGGTCATTATTACAGCAAGCTGGTGGGTGCATGGACATTCATTCTATGATTCTTTTCTATTCTTGTGTGTGTGTTTGACATTTCCATGACCAGAACTTGCTTGAGAGGCACCCCAGGGCAAATTTGACGGCATATGCAAAGGACCCCAAGCAGGAAAGAACCTGGATATTTCAGGTCCCAAGGAGGGATGGGGGGTGCGGTCATACAAGGGTGGGAGGGCTGGAAGAGGAGCGAGCTACATAGTGTAGGGCCTTAGGCCCCCAACTTGCTCCCTTGGGCCTTCCAGAGAGCTCCTTTGACCCTCTGGGTGAATACGTTGCCAAGAAGCTGACTGCTCTTTGCAGACCGGAGGATGGTGGAAGGAGGCAATGGACACACAGTGTAAGTACCTCTTGAATAATTAACAAAGGAGTCCCTCTGTGTTGGAGGTGGTCCAGTCACTTTGGGTGATTTCTAAGTTAAGAGGCACGTCATAAAGCTGCATCAACCCAATGTAGTCCAGTCTTGGGAAAGGAAAGCAAAGATGCGGAAACGCATTGCTTCCTGTGGCAGCTGTAAAAATTGCCACGAACTGGATGTCTTAAACAGCAGAAATTTAAAGAAAAAAAAAACTGCAGAAATGTATTCTCTCCTGGCTCTGGAGGTTAGAAATGTGAAATCCGGGTGTCAGCAGGGCCAGGCTCGCTCGCTCTCTCTGTCTCTCTGAAGGCTCTGGGAAGACTTCTTCCTTGCATCTCCCCAGCTTCCGAGGCGACCAGTACTCCCTGGGGTCCCTTGGCGCGTAGACCCACTACTCCCATATCTGCCTGCGCCTTCACGGCGCTCTCTTCTGAACGTCTCCAAATCTCTTTCTCTTTCTAAAGACACCCATCATTTGATTTAAGGGCCACCCCAATCCTGTATGACCTCATCTTACCTGGATCACATCCCTGAAGATTCTACCTGTAAATAAAGTCACATTTATAACCGGAAGTTAGGACTTCAACACAACTTTTGAAGGACACAATGCAACCTGCAACACACTGTCAGCCAAGTGGACCCTGGAGCTGGACGTAAAGGGGTTCATTTGGATCTGCTGCCTCTGACCCCTCAGGGGTTTCCCCCTCTCCTGAAGTCATGGGGTCCCGGGGCCCTGGAGCCCTAGAATGTTCCGCTAGACCAGCTCTGTAGAATGTCTGATCCGTTCTCAGCTCCTGGGGGACGCCAAGCTCCATTACAAACCTCATGAAAGCTGGCTATGGCTTCTCTCCCCAGGGGAAAAAAAAATGCTTCCTTGGAGCTGCTTGTAAATGTTTGGCTAGTACTTTGGGAGGGCCAAGGAACTATAAAGCCACAAGATCCGTGGAGCATGGGTAGGAGTTGGCGGGTTTCGTCTTTTAGATGACAAATAGGCTGCTAGACAAATAGAACAGATACCTAGGTCTCATAGCCGGCCTGGGGGAGAGCTGGAAGCTACCTTCCGGAGAGTTCGATGCCAGCCCAGAAGTACAACATAGGCACCAGGAGAGAGCCAAAGGGGTGGGAACGAGTCTCAGTGAGGAAGCTACCAAGAGACTGGGACTTCTCTTCATCCTGGGGGTGGGGGGAAGCTGAATCATGTCATCAAATACACTGAATGAAACCTTGCCAAGCACGGAGCCCTGCAGCCTGCTGACGGCCAAGTGGAAAGTCAGGTTTGCTGGGCACAACAGACAGCAGCTGGCCCTCCTAAATGTCTAGGTCATTGTTTTCTCCAGAAAGAGTTTCATATAACCCAGGTTTGCCCCTGCCTCACTGGCCAGCCCGGGAATATTAAGCCACCAAGCCCTCCCTTAGAACATTCGAGCATCCCAGAGTGTGTGCCCGTGAGCCCACGGCACTAGTGCTACACTGTTCCTTTCAGGCTCCACAGTGACTTTCATCCCACCTTATTGCTGGGGCCCACAATCAAGGGCAAGACCTCATACTGGCCTCGGGAGTGGCAGTTGCATCTGGTCCGAGGGACACTCCCAGATGCGACCAGCACACAGGACATGGGCATGAGTTAGCATCAAAATATAGTTTAATTTTTCTTTCTCTCTATTGTGAGTAGAGTCATGTCTCCTGCACTCTCTGAAATCTATATGAAAGTCCTAACCCCAGGTTCCTGTGAATGTGACATTATTGGGAAGTAGGGTCTTAGCCCATGTAATCAAGTGAAGATGAAGTAACACTAGATTATGGGGGAGTCCAGTGACTGGTGTCCCTATAAGAAAAGAGAAATTTAGACGCAGAATCACACAGAAGCCATGTAAGGACAGAGGCAGAGAGTGGAGTGATCTGTCTACCAGCCAAGGACAGCAAAGATTGCCACTAGAAGCTGGAAGAAAGGCCTAGAACAGATTCTCCCTCAGTCTCCAAGAGGAACCAACCCTGCCGATACCTTGATTTCAGACTCCTAGCCTCTAAAACTGAGAGATGGTACATTTCTGTTGCTGCAAGCCACACAATCCATGGTGACTTGTTATAGTGGACCACAGGACCCTTGCATACCCTCATAGCCCCCTCAAAGTGATTCCAGCAGGAGGAGATACCTTGCTGCTCCCAGGACCCAGGACTTTTCTCATTCCTCTTACACACGTTTATTATAGTCACACATGTGCACGTGTGCACACACATACACATGCAGAGGAGTCCCACTCAGGACCTGGAATGGCGTGATCCTCGGATGAGCCAAACAGCTGGCATCCCTTGCTGTCCCACCCATGCTCCTCTCCCAGCCACTGCATGGCTAAGGGTCACCACCAGCCCTAGAGGCTTAGGAAGGGATGGCTTCTTTTTCCTTCCTGGTTAAGAGGCTTCCTCCTGTATGAGAGGGTGGGGAGGGAGGCGGAGAAAGACATAGAACCCATTCTGACGGAATGGTGCCATTACGAGATGGCGTCCTGGACCTACCTGTGCTCAAAGCCGCTTGCTCTTCCATAGGAACCTGGACAGGCCCTCAGAGGCTCCAGCTGCATCTTTGGTGATGGGGCAAGGTGCCTGTCTCTGGGCAGGCACACCTGCTGCCCTCAGGCGGACCCATTCCACACAGACATTTGCTAGTGTTCCCTTCCCCTCAGGCAGAAACCCTTGCCTTAATTTATGTTCCCCCAGAAGGATACGGGGACCAGAATTCTGTGCCAAGTGATTTATTCTGGAGGGGATCCTGGGGAACACCAGCAGGGGCGGGAAGGGAGCGCATCCTGGTAGCGGTGCCCTGAGCAGGTCACTGCTGGGGGCAACCGGGTTCATCCTGCGGGGTGAGGGTTGCGTGCAGAGCACACACATCAGAGTGTCCCCCGCAAAACAGGAAATGGGTTCCCCACCAACTCCCACCCGGTATTGGTTGAGAACTATTCCCAAGGTGCCGTGGCTCCCTAGCACTTTGGGACTGCCCAGCCAGGACCCAAGCACACTCCTAAGTTAAGAGAGTATCCTCGGGCAGAAAGATCTAGGCATCTAAGGGCTAAGTGGCTGTGGAGAAACGGAGGCCCTGGGCTGCAGCCCTCTTAACTGAATCCCTTTTGGAGATAACCCCAGAGGAGGTCAGCATTCCTACCCTGGTTGAGCACCCGGTGTTTGAGATGAGCCATCCAAAATGCAGGAGCAGTTCCCTCGCTCTCTCTCTCTCTCTTTCTCAGTCTGCCCCCTCCATTCACCCCCTCTCCCTCAGGCAAACAGCCCTGGCCTCTGAGAGAAGAAAGCCATGCGTCAGATTCCAGTCCACGGAGCCAGATCACAACTGGGGTCAAGGATCACGGGCTCTCCAAATGGAGCGCATGCGTCCTTCTTGCTCGGCTCTCAGCGCCCTCCCTGCCACACACACCTGAACCTTCTTTCTTGTGGGAGGCTGTGCTCCCAGCAAGGGAACAGCTCTCTGCAAAGAAATCTGCTCACAGGAAACCCAGTGTCCCCTCTCTTCCCCCTTTCATAGCCTTCTCTGGGTTTAAAGTCCTTTAACCGGTTCTTTGATATTGCCTTTGAAAATCTGCATTTTGGTCTCCTGTTGGAATTTCCTAGCTATTGTCTTTGGCGCCCCAGGCAAAATGTGCAGTTTAATGGCCTTGCCCAGGGGCTCAGCCACGGGAGGTGGTGACTGGCCAGCATCCCCACTCCTGCCTCTGGAACTGGGCTCTGCAACAGGGAGGGTGCCTGCCCTCCTCCGCACCTCAGACCCAGGTCCGACCAGGCAACCCACTGGTGCCCCACTTGGCAGCATCAAACCTTTCAGGAGAACAGCTTCCCTCCCGTCCATCTGCAGCCGGTCTCTCTGTAAGCCTCAGTCCAAGTTCAAAGGGCCAACATCAAAGACTACAATGGATTGAATGGTGCCCTCCCCAAAAGACAGGCCCCCTCAGAACCTGTGAATGTGACCTTATTTGGAAAAAGGGCTTTTGCGGAATGTATCAAATTAAGGATCTCAAGGTGAGATCATCCTGGATTACAGCGGGCCCTCCATCCAAAGACAAGCATCCTTAGAAGAGAAGGGGAGAGGACACGGAGAAGAGGTGACACGAAGGCGGAGGCAGAGATGGGAGGGATGCGTCTACAAGCCGAGGAAAGTGGAGGATCACCAGCAGCCTCCAGAAGCTAGGAAGGAGGGAGGCATGGAACACCTTCTCCCCTGAAATCTCCAGAGGGAACCCGCCCTGGATTTCAGACGTTCAGCCTCCAGAACTGTGAGAGGGTCCTCTGAAACCACCAGCTCCTGTGACTTTGTTACAGCAGCCTGGGAAACTAACGGAAGACCAACAGGGGCTGTTTGCCCCAGCCCCTAGCCCTTTCCAGTTGTGGCTGAGACAAAGCTAGGTGTTCACCAAACCCTTCTTTAGTTACCGGTTGGGTAGATAGGAATACCACATTTCCCAGAAGCCTTTGCAGATGGGGTCAATGACGGAGTTCCGAGCAGTAAAATGTGGACAGACTGAGACCTGGTCTTTAAAACTTCCCACGCAGTCCTCTGCGTTCTCTGCTGTCCCTCCTCTTGCCCACTGGCTGGACGGGATCCAATGGAGGACTTCGAGGTTCTAGAAGATAAAAGAACCAGAAGATGGGTTCCTGAATCACCTCATGGAAACTGCCTGTGAAACACACTGATATTTAAGGGTTACTTGTTAGATCAGGCAGACTTCCCTGTGTAGTACACACTTCTGTTATCTTACTTTTACCTGGAAAGAACTATTTGAGGAAGAGCAGTGTGGACACTATTGAGTTTCCACTTTTTATTTCATGCCTACATTCGTAATTATTAACGTCCCTATCTTGGCTTTTTCACTAGACTATAAACTCCTTGGGGGAAAGTTACATGCCTGAGGAACTGTCGTGTCCTCTGCAGGCGTAACACCGTTCCATGCATGTCAGACATGCCCCATCAGCAGTTGCTGGGTGAACCCGATAATCCTCGCTGACATTTATTGAGCAAATACTATGAATTCTGTATTTCTAAAAAGCATTTAACCCACACAGTAACACCATGGAGGAGTTGCTGTTATTAGGGACAATGTAAGAAATTAAGGATCTGGAAGGTTAACCAGGAAAGGATAGATGGGGGATAGAAACCAAGGCTGTCTGGCTCCTCACGCCCACTGCCTCTGCCTGAACACAGCCCACTTCCCTCTCCAATTTACAGGGTCCCTAAACTAAAAGTCATCCCAACCCAAATCTCTACTGCCCATTTTCCCCGAAGAAGGCTTTGTGCTCACCCAAGCCACTGAACGCCAGGCCTCAGGGCTTTCCCTCCACGGTGGCTGAGCTTGGCACGCGGGCCTCCCACCACTGTTCCCCCCCAGCCACGCAACAGCTGCAACAGGCAGCCTTCCCGGCATGCCTCATCTGGCCAGGCCGCTCCAGCTGCCTCCTGCGTCCCACAGCCAGCCACCCCAGGCCACCTCGAGACTGCAGAGGAAGGCCCACCGAGGTGCACGGGTGTGGTCGCTGGGTCCCGGTCCAACACCACCCACAGCCCTCCCAAGACCTGCTCTGCATTCTGCTACGGTGATAACAGAAACCCATCAAGAGAAAGAGCGAACATGAGACTATGTGTGTGTGCGCGCGAGTGCCCATGCATGTGTGCACGTGTGTGTGTGTGTGTGTGTGTGTGTGTGTGTGTGTGTATGAAGAGATTTGCTTGGAAACACCAAACCCTCACCAAAGATGTTCCCAGCCCTCATTTGTACACACAGTCTTCAAACATCAAAGTGTTTGTTAAGTGTAAATATTTTTATTCGCTCCCCTCCTTCTCCTCCCTCCCCTCTTCCATCCCGGCTTCTAGCTCAGCAGATGCCAGGAGACCCCCTCTGAGTCAGAGCCAGCAGGGATGGTTTGGGAAAAGGGCACTTCCCGGTCCCAGCGGGCAGCCGGCAGCTGCCTGACAGCCACCCGGGACTCGGCTCCCAGCCACTGGCTCCTCTCTTGGCGCCTGTTTCCATAGGAACGGGCAGGCCCAGGATTGGCGGCCTGGGGAGCGTTACCCACGCTGGCTGCTTTGCAAGTGGTCCCTCCATGGACCTCCCCTAGCCTGCCCAGCCTGGGCCCGGGCCTGCCCTGGAAAAGGACCAGGAGCCTGGAGAAGTGTCCAAGTACAGGGGAGCTGGGGGGACCCCCCCGGAACACCCCGAAATTCCAAGGCACGGAGAGTCTGAGACAACACCTTGCTTGGAGCCTGCCTTACCCCACAATCCCTGCCCTCCTCCACTGGGTACTCAACAGAGCGCCCGGTTCAGCTTTCCCACAGGGCCCGCCAGCCAGGCAGAGGACACAGGGCTAATTCAGATAGCTCAGACGAGGCACCAGGCCACACATGGCAGCCACTCCTTCCCCTCCAGAAAAAGAAAAACCCTTATGAAGCACCTCTCTGCTCCACAGTGTCTTGCGCCCTGCAGGTCAAACTGCGCTCTGCCTCTTAGTTTCCCTGCCAGCCCTGTGCTGTACATCTCTCATGATTAAACAGAAAGCCGATGGAGGGCCTTTCTGAGTCCCCAAAGCTAGGACCACAATGGCATTTGCGTCTTCTCTACCAAATTAAGAAAGAGGAAAATGTTCTCTGATGGCCAGGACGGTCCTGGCTGTCGCCTTTGAACCCCAGTCTTGCGTCCTAGATCTTTTGCCATCATCAGGCTGGCCCGCAGCCTCCTTAGGCCTCCCCACGATGGGTCCTCCTAGGGTGGGAAGACCCCCCCCCCCCCCCCCCCCCCCCCCCCTGCAAAGCTCTAAGAGCGCTCAGGGAGAAGCTGGGGTTTGGCTGATGGGCTCAAGGAGTCTAAAGGCCCCTACTCAGAGCTAGAGGTTGAAATGCCAACCCAACCCAGCGGCAGGAACTAACCAGCTCTTAAAGCAAGAGGACACTCAGGACTATTGATCAGAATGCACAGTCTACATCTATAATTAGACCCAGAAAGCTGCTTGCGCATCAGAAAGAGCGAGAAAGACATGACCGTGGCTCCGCTAAAGCCAGATATGCATCAGGATTGCACAAAACAAACAAAAACGCCACGGCTGAAAATGCCGCGCGTTGTTCCTCCCTCCCTCTACAAGGTTCCCCATGAGTCACACGCTTCAGCCCTGCAAGAGCAGCCAGATGTGATGTAGCCCCTGTACACAAGGCAGCAACAGCTGACTCTGGGGGTGGGGGGGCATGGCAGCCAGCCCTCCCATCGCCGCTGTGGCCGTGACCTCCCAGATCAGGGCAGCCGAGCACCTGGTGTCCTTGAAGCCCTGGGGAAGCAAAGTTGCCTTGGAGAAGTTTCATTTGCTTTTTGCATTATTAAAAGTGGCAGGAAAAGGCTCGGTTTCTGGGCATTTTGTGGCGTGCGTTTGTTCTTTCGGATAATGAATCTGATTTGGGAACTGCAGCTAAAATTTGGGGGGGGGGGAGTCCATTAGAAAGAAATACTGTTTGTTGGGGCTGTGGAATGCTGGTGGCAAATTGCCCTTCCTAAGTGCTGTTTTTTTGAAAACTCATTCCTGCGGTAGGAAAATAAAGCAGATTTCAAACACTTAAGAGATCATTTTCAGAATGGTCTAGATGCACGCTGGTATGCCGGCGCATTTGCCTTTCATTGTTTTTTAATCACTATTTTGTCAAGTTTAATTGCCGCCATGCTAACAACCCAAACGGGAGCGAAACAAAATAGGGGATATCTATCATTGGTGAGAGCATTTTGATGGAATCTATATGCATTTGCATCTTCGCCACCAAATTAAGAAGGAGGAAAATAGAAAAGGTTTTCTCTGTTGCCGGTGGAAGGATCTTTTTCATTGGCCTGGGTGGGGAAGTCCCCAGAGCAGCGGGCAAACCGGGCAGCTTCCCACACATTGGCTCAGCCTCCTCTGAACTTGCTCCAGCTGGGCTTTTCTTGCCTGGATTTTCCTTCTAGGGATATTGTGAATTCTCACAAGTTCTTGCTGCCCGATGGGAGCCTTGAAGGCAGAGAGAGATTTTGCCTCAAGGATGCACACCAGTCCCAGGTCTGCTTCTCTTTCTCCTCCGGGGCTTGTGGCAGACACACGGAGGCATTACTGAGAACCTTCACGAAGGGACTCTGCCCGGCTTCCCTGGAATGTGGTAAGCTGCCTCCAGCTGTTAGCCTCGGCAGGCTCGGCCACATCTTTGGAGCTGAGGTCACATCCGTCTCGGAGTGGCCCCCACCAACAGCTGAGCAAGGTGGTGGCCCTCCGGACTGGCCCTTTGGCCCCAACACCACGGGCACCCATTGCTGAGTATCCCACTGGGCAGGCGGAGACGGATCAGAGCTGTGTGGCCTCCTGCCGCCGCCCCTGCCCCATCCCGCCTCCCCCTTGCTTTCATAGGCACTTCTCCTGGGTTATTATTTTAAGCCCGGTTCCATACAGTCCTGCCTGCGAGTGGCGGAAGGATTAAGTCAGCTCTCAAAAATCACTAACTCCGTCTGGGCAGCTCCTCCCCGGACCACTCAACCTGAGACCACCCTTTTGGCCACAAGATGACTTTTTCAAGCTCGGCAGACCACCCTGGGTGCCTGTTTGATGATTATTTAATGCAAATATACCACGCGCCTTGCTGAGGACCAGGAACATCAGGGACCAACTCTATTGAACGATTGGGGGTGAACTCCGGGTAAGGTGGGGAGCTCTTTCAAAAGGGGGTTCCCATATGGTCAGTGCAGACCTAGCATCTGGCAACTCGAAGAAGCACCTCAAGGAACCCACGGTCCCCAGGCACAGCTATTGTGGAATTAGGGGCTGTGTCCCTACAGGCCTGGGGCTTGTTACCCCGCCCTCGGCTCCCCAAGTAGACTGTGTCAGCTCCTTGAAGGCCAGGACACGCCTGTCTTGCTCACCACTCTGTCGACAGACTCTAAAACTGAGCATGGCACATGCTTACTGATCAGTGAGCGCTTGATGAATGAATGACTGATCGTGCCTCTTTCACGGCATTTCATTACAATTCCCCCAGGGCTCCCCCACTGCCCTGAGGACGGGGTCCAAAGCCATTCATGTGATAGAGGAGAATATTCAAGGTCTGGCTTCCCGGAACCCTCCTTCCAGCGGAAACTCAGAGAATTAACCAAGCCGCCGCCCTCACTCGGCCTCGCTCAGCAGCGACCGCCTCCCCTACTACTTTTTGGACAGCCCCTTGCCTACTAATGCTGAGAAGACTGCCCCACGCCTTTTCCCTCTTCCTCTGCTCCGGCATCCAACTCCCAGACGACAGGACCCCCAAGGGCCATGCCGGTGTGGGACATTTGAATTCCAGGGCTCCAGGCCAAAAATAGTGAACCCAGTGGTCTCCTAGGCCAGCTCCCAGGAAGGGGTTAGCTGAGGAAGGTCATTAGCATGAGTTCTCATGCCACGCTGAAGGGACATCTCACGCTCTAATACACAACGGGCTATATTCCAGACACGGTTCCAAACACCTCGTATGTGGTAACTACTTGGGGGCCCTATGCCCCCTCCAACGAGGTGGCTGTTATTCATACCTTCACTTTCCAGGTGAGGGTGCTGACGCACGAAGGGGTTCTGGAACTTGCTCGAAGTCACTACGGATGGCCGAGCTGGGATTGGCACCCAGGCAGGCCGACTCCCAATGTTATGCTACAACCGGGTACCTTGTCTCCCTGCCTGCGTGGCTTGTGGCTGTCCTCAGGCCTGGTTGTTGGAAGGGGTTCTGAGCCAGCTGGGGCGGTTGGGATGAAAGCACCACTAGACCTGGGGTACCCAAGTGGCCCCTTCTGACCTCACCAACGGGAGGAATGAATAGCTTCCCCACAGCCCACCCCTCCTCTCTTATCTCCTTCCCATCCCCCTCACACCTTCCCCCACCCACATGTCCCAATGGTCTGCCCTGCCTGACCCTCTCCCAACCACCCCCAGCCCGTGTCACTGCATTTGGGAACCCTCTGCCAACTCTGGGATCCCAGCTGGGCAGCGGCCCTGGCAGGGCTGGGTGTGGGCCAAGTTAGGGGGTGGGGGGCTCCCATGAGGGGTCTGCCCTTGTCCTGTGAATAAACTCCTCCCCAAGGGAGCGCAATGTTATGCAGCAGATGAAAATCACCGCGATGGGGGAAGAGAGGGATGCTGTCGAAGAGGATAAAAAAACCTGTGTTCTACTTTTGGAAGAAGGGGCCCCCCATTTTCTTTTTGCAGGGTGCCTGGCAAATTACATAGCTGGCTCTGCTCCCCCAATTCGGAAGGCCCTGAGACAGTGGAGCCCAGGGAGGCAGGCAGGGAGTTAAGCTGTTAGCATGTGAATTATGCTCCCCAGAGCGGCAGGCGAGCTCAGATATCTGGACCAGATGTGGGTGGGGCATCCACAGGGGCTACGGCTGGGGGCCTCCCCCTTCTCGAAGCATCTGCCTTAAACACCTTTACGCTGCCTTCCCGTGGCCTGATGGGTGTTGGTTTCCACCAATGTGATTCTGCGTCCCACCGCCCATCTGAGCAGGACTTGGGATTCTCTGTGAGGCCTGAGAGTCAGAGAAGAACAGAGAGGGAAAATGCCATATAGGCCTGAGTTCATCTCCCATGACTTGGTTCTTATTAACCTCAGCCTTCAGGCTCACCCCCTCTCCACTGCACAAAGCCATCGCTTATGCCTCTGTTTGATGGCGCTTCAGAAGCAGGTCACTTCATGGGCCACTGGCCAGTCTGTGACTTGGTCATCCTTGGGCAACTGTCCATTCACCCCCTCAGTCCAGTCGGTACATGCAAGGGTGACAGTATTCCGTGGCACTGGCCTGGAGACATGTCACAAGAGATCTTCTGGGACCTGGGATGCCGGATTCTCTCGGGAGAATGCCGTGGATGGGGCAGGGATTCTGAGCCTTGGTCTTGCTAGTGGTTATCAACAGCTGATGTCAAAAGGATCAGAAAATGAAACATACTCTTCAAATATTGAGACATTTTGATGACTTGGAAGGTGTTAGGAGGTAGGGCAGTAAAGTAAAGCAATTCTACAGGTACTCAGGTTTCTAACCAACCCACTGATTTAAGAAAGGATTTGCTCAGACTCTCCAGGATTAACTAAGACTTTAGCTGGCTAAACAACTCAAGAACACTAGCGGTCCTAACCCAGATCTATTGCAAAGAAATTTCAGACCTGCCCAATGTGGGCTCGTCCAGGTTCAATCATTCTGCTTTACTGGGTATAATCATCAGCTATGCCTACAATAATGCTGCGTAACAAGTCATCCCCAAACTCAGTAGTTTACCAAACAAACCTTTATTTATCCTGCTGCTGGGTCTACTGGTCATGTGGGGAAGTTCTGCTTCAGGCTCCTGAGTGGGTTTGGGGCCACAGGGGGCGGCGCTCAATATGCTCTCACTCTCCTCGGACCTGTGGCTAGTAGGGACAGACCTGTAGACAGCAGAAGTACAAAGGTTTGAGAAGAAACACAAGACTGGCCCCCTGTCACTCCTGCCTACATACCATTGAACAAAGTAGGCCGCTGGCTAAGCCCTGCATGGGCTTACCGAGATGCAGGGAAGTACATGGCTCCCTGATCTTATCAGGGGTAGCAAAAAGTCACATGCCAGCCTCCTGCTTTGAAGAGTGATTGCCTCAACTCTTCTGACCCTTAGGATGGTAACTCACACAGTGAGTATCATATCGAGTGCCTACTTCTCATTAATTTCTTCCATCTTCACTATTTTGTTACTAAATGTAGAATTAAATAAGTGTTGAAGTGTCCTATGTATGTTTTGCTCTTGGAACACAGCGTTAAGGGTATGCTGCTTATTACTTACGAAGCAGATGAATTAGAGGGCCACACTGGAGCATAATTAATGATAAGAAAATTCCTCATTAGGTTGTGTTATGATAACTAATGACAACTACTGAGATTATTTTATCCATTTTAATAGGATTTTTGTATTGTTTTAGCCTAAGGTGGCTTTAGTTTAGGGGCTCAGGAATGCCCCCGATTTTTTTTCTCCTTTCATAACTATGACTTAGGCTGATGAGAAGTCACCCTATGAGGTTTTCCAGGAATAGAATTCTTATATTAGGCAGAGGAAGGCAGTACAGGTGGCTGGGGGTTGAGGGGGAGGAGTAGGGGAGGAAGTCTTCTGGTAAAGGGGCAGAAGCACAGATGCTCATCACTCCTGACATACAGACAGTCCAGTGAAAGTAAAACGAAACAGTGTTCTAAGAGGAACCTGCCCGCTCCCTGACCCGACCCTGGGCTGGATGGAAGGCATTTTGCTCCTTCTCTATCAGGAGCCCTGCCCCCCTCTTGTAAGTGTCCTACCTGCCGGGCCCCCAGTTCACATGGATTAGAAAATAGCGTCCCCACCAGCTCTCCACTTGACCAGTCTTTCTTGAGTCTGAGTGGGTGCTGGGACCTGGGGTGAGCAAACATCAGGAGTTTGGAGTCCTTAGTTACTGGGACCGTTTGGACGGACTTCATGTCGGGCAGCCACTGAGAGGCACCATGGCTTTGGAGTCAATTACAGGGGAGTTCAATTCCCGGCTCCGCCACTTACTAGCTGGGACACACGGCAGGTTGTTGAACTCTTTGGGCCTCAGTTTCGTCATCCGTAGAGTGGGAATAGGATCACTATACCTGTGTGCGCGCGCGCACACACGCAGAGTTGTTGATAATAGCCAATACGATGCACTTTAGAAAAAGGTTGGCCCTGCTCTTAGCACTTGGCATAAACTCAAAAGATGGGAATTAACATGGGTCCACAACCTCGTAGCCAAATCATAGGGACCAATAGGTTCAGAATTCTGAATTTGTCATTTTTTAGGAAGGTCTTATGGTGCATTCACCATATAGTACATGAAACCCCATATACCCCACGCTCTAACACACTAATGTTCCTTGCAGCAAAGTGTATGAATAGTCACATTCCCTGGGATAGAATAAGGCTCTAAACAGCCTCACGTGTGTTCGACCCAGGTTTTGCCATCAAATGAGTTTTCGCCCAACCTTTGTGTTCAGAGCTTTGGGAACGTTAGTACTGAGGATAAATGGGTATATTAGCAAGTTACAAGCATTCAGACCACAAGAGAAGAGACGGAGGCCACCGGAGTAGGGGAGGGGGGTGAGGGGGGCAGCAGGGGGTTGTCCAGAGGCCTCTTCTTTTGGGGGCTTAACGACCGCCTCCAGGGGCAGAGAGAGGATGAAGGTGAGTCGGAAACCGGCCGCCAGGCAGAGGGTGGTGGGAAAGGAAGACAGACGGTTCCTGCATTTTGAGTAGCATTATTTGGCTCCCCAGATGCCTAGAAAATATTCATTCCCAGACCCCCTCTCTCAGCCACTATATAGCTGAATAAAAGGATGCAAGGCAATGAATAAATAAACAAACAGAGAGGAGAGAGGACAGAGGCTGGGGTCCACACCCGAGGAGAGGTAGATGGGTCAGACACCCCTTTCTCCCAGGCATTCCAGAAGGTGCCCTTGAAGGACCACTGGTGACGTCCGGGCTGGAGGTGCCTGATCAAGTTGAGTGTTCACCTGGCTGTCAACTGCGGGCCAGAGGGGAGCAGAGCTGGGATGGGGTGACCCCTTTGCCAAGGACCTCGGCATCTGGGGGGAGCAACCCAGCCCTTTCTCTCATGACTTTCATAAGCCCCAGGAAGCAGATAATTCTATTATCCTGGGTTTTGTTCCCAGGTTCCTGATGGCAGCCTCTGGTGGATCGTTAGTAGCAACGCCGTGTGTGTGTGTGTGTGTGTGTGTGTGTGTGTGTGTGTGTGTTGCCTATGTAACAACAGAGACACACAGAGAAAACAATGGTTTTCTCTAAGCCCCAAAGGGAGCAGCCCCGGTGCTCGGGAGCTGAGCTGAGGGAGAGAGAGTTGCATGTTCTCCTCCCCGTGTCTTTTCTTATTTTGCATTTCTCATTACATCCGCATGTCACGGGGCTGCTGGCTGATTTATAATTTATTGGTTTAGTGTCTCGCGGCAGGGAAAGGATGCTACGCTATATTTTTCAGGGACACTCAATTCAACTTTGGTGAAGCAGCCAGGGCCACAGCTGTGAGGGGCACAGAAGGAAGATGGGTGAGAGGAGGCAGCCAGCAAGCCCCGCACGGCTGGGCCAGTCCTGGCCAAATGCCACCTGCCACCCAGAGACGCTGGCCTGCTCTGGCTTTTGATTGAAGTGGGGGCTTTCTAATCCAATTTCGGAAATTCCATCTCAAGCAGGCATGTAAAATGCATCGACAAGTCGGGGCACTGGGTTCCAAGGACCTGGTGTGTTCCTGCCTTCCAGGGCCTTCCATGGCCAACCCTAATGACGATTCATGGGAGAGGGATTTCAAGAACAAATTCCACCAGCAGAAAGGGGTAAGGGAGTCGATTCGTTCGTTAGGACTGCTGTCACAAAGAACCACCCACTGAGGGGCTTAAACAACAGAAAGGTGCTGTCTCATGGTTCTGGAGGCCAGAAGTCCAAGATCAAGGTGTTGGAGGGTTGCTTCCTTCTGAGGGCCGTGAGGGGGGCAGCTGTTCCAGGCCTCTCCCCGAGCTTCTTGTGGCTTGCTGGCGGTCTTGGATGTACTTCAGCTTGTGGAATCATCACCCCCATGTCTGCAGTGTTCTCCCTGCGTCCACGCCTATGTCCGAATTTCATCTCTTTGTAAGGAATCCGGCCATATTGGACCAGGATCCCTGAAACCTGCTTACCTCTTTAAAGATCCTATCTTTCTATACTTTTTCATTCTCAGGCACTGGGGTTAAGTCTTCAATGTAGGAATTGGGGGGGCAGGGGTGGTCACAGTGCAACCCCTAACGGGAGGTGGGAAAGTGAAGAAGAAAGGAAGAAAACCAAGGCAGGGTGAAGTGCCACAGGGGGTCCCCCAGCAGGGAACTTGGGCTCAACTCTGCAAGGCATTCCTGGGGACTAGAGAGGGAGGTCACTTTCAGACATGCCCGACCAACCAGTAGACAAAGGAGTCAGAGTATCTGTGGAAGGAAACCCCCAGAAGGCTGTTGGTTCCTAGGCACTCCCAGCCCTCCCTGAGCCCAGATCCCAAGGACGCTGGCTGTCGGGACGCAAGGCCCCTGGAAAGTGGGGTGCCCGGGAGCAGAAGAAGGATTTCGCGGAGGCATGGGGAGCACTGGGAGCACCTGTCGCGAGCCTTCAAGTTCCATCTCTGCCAGAGGTCACTCATCGCCTCTTTGTTGTGCTGCCTCTCGCAGATGGCGGACACGTGCCCATCCACCCCAGGGCCTGAAGGGGAGACAAATCCGGAGAGATGAGAGCATTCGCTCCCAGAAAAGCCTAGATTGATGTTGAAAAGCCAGTTGTTTCTGCTAGCTTTCCGCCAGCGGTGGCTTGGAGCGCCGGGGGGTGGGGGTGGGGTGTGGGAAGCGGGGGTTAGTGTACAGACAGGCAAGGGGACTAGCTGTTCTGGTGTCAAACAGGAAGAAGGAAATACATTTCGGGAAAAGTGGTAATGATCGACTCTTGGGGTTAGAATCACGGTCTTTGATTGAATAACATGGCAGGGTTCTGATTCAATAGTAATCTGATTTGGTGGCACACCAATAATAAATTCTCCAGCAAACTGAAAAATTCTGTAGGGTAATGGAAAGCATTCAAACCCCATGGTTTTCATTGAATTAAATATGAAAATGTATCATACAATCGATATTGCAATATTTGATTCAATCAGCATTTGGGGATGGGAACCGTTTTCTCCCATTTGTTCTTATGCTGTCGCAAAATATTTCAATTTGCTTCAGAATTTATTATTGACAAATCACCCTAACGGCCGTTGGGGGTTGGGGTGGGGAGCTTGTCACAGAGGATTGACAGCTGAGAAATGTCGGGGCCAACCCTGGGCCTGGAGAAACAGCCAGGGACTGTGGAAAGCTCAGGTGAAATTCCAGAAGGGAGCTGATTATGCATGGCAAGGGGAGACAGGAGGACATTAGTCATTGGGAGATGGAGTCAGCACAGGTTGCCCTGCCTTTCCTCCAGATGGGGGCTACTGTCCCTGCAGCATCAGCCCGCCCTGGGCCAAATTAAAAGGTAGGCAGAGGGGGCACCCCACCTCCTCTGCTCTCTGGGACTCTGGCCCCTTCATCAGGAAAGGGCTTTCATCCGCAAACCAGCAGTGAGTGCCTTAAAGCAGCGATGGTCCTGGTGGCCATTTCTTCGGGGCTGGACCGGAATCTGCGGATTTTGGCTAGGTTCATGAGGCCTTGTGGGGTCAAGGATCTGGCTAGTCCAGAGCGGCCCTGTTGACATGTCCGAAGGCTGGCTGGCCTTGGCAATGGCCGTGACAGGAGTATGTGTCTCTCAGCTCCCAGCAGACTCTCCCAAGGCTCTCCCAAGCCCAGAACACAGTAGCATCCAGGTGTAGCGGGAGGACAAGCCTCAGTGTGCAAATGTCATTCGAGTTCCTGCTTGCGAAACATTTGCTGAGCCCCCATCGGCCGGAGCGAGATACAAGGACAGCTCAGATTCGAGGGGTGGAGGAAAGCTTCACCTCCTGATCTGTGAATTCACAGTGCAAGGACGTAGACTCAAGGAGGGGAGGTATCTGTGGCCACTTTTGCAAATGGCCATCATTAGCATCATTTCTTTTCAAGTGCTTATCATAGCCCACCTTCTGTAAAACTAGGGACAGGAAACCGCTCTCACTAGCCCAGAGCTCCCGGAGGGCAGGCTATCTTTGCATTTTTT